AACCCCCCCCCCCCCCCCCAGAAAATATCACCAAACATTTCTACTGGTCACTTACTGTTTTCTTCTTCACCGCCCTCCTCCGAACCATCGTCAATGTCTTCTTCCTTCTCCAAACACATGGCGCACGACTTTCTGCAGTTGTTGAACATCCATTTGGCATTGACCTTGCACTCACCATCCTTGGCCCAGTCGTCACATTTCTGCTCGTCTTTGTACGAGTTCTGGCAGTTCACTTTTTTGTGGGGGAGAGAGAGAGTAGGAGTTAAAAGGAATCTAACTTGGCTACTGAGTGTTCCCACTGCCAACAATAATAGAGCTATTCTATTCTATTCTATTCTATTCTATACTCTACTTGGTAAATTAATCAGATCTTAATTTGAATTGAATTTAATTTAACTGCATGTTTATCATATCTTCTCTGTGTACAACAGCGAGTACTGTTTTATATACAAAAAAATATAAACTGAGTTGGAATTCTTATTATTATATGAGAAGTTTTCAGTTCAAGTTCAGTAGGTCTTTATTGTTCCATTCCACTTTAATAGTAAAGAAATAATCTCTGTGTATCTTAGGCTTTTATTTTATTTTCGTTAAATTTTCTTATTTAAACGTATTTTTTTTTTTAAACTCAAATGAAATGAGCAACAACAAAAAGTATCATTTTTTGTGAAAGAACCATAGACAAATTTATAATCAGAATATCCATTGTAAACTCTACTTCCATCCCAACAGCAAACACAACTTTGGTGTTTAGCACAGCTCTCTATCCCACTTCTCACAAGCACAGCTCTCTATCCCACTTGTCACAAGCACAACCTGGTGTTCAGCACAGCTCTCTATCCCACTTCTCACAAGCACAACCTGGTGTTTAGCACAGCACTCTATCCCACTTGTCACAAACACAACCTGGTGTTTAGCACAGCTCTATATCCCACTTCTCACAACCACAACCTCGTAGTTGAGCACAGCTCTCTATCCCACTTCTCAGAAACACAACCTGGTAGTTTAGCACAACTCTCTATCCCACTTCTCACAAGCACAACCTGGTGTTCAGCACAGCTCTCTATCCCACTTGTCACAAGCACAACTACCTATCTTGAAAAGATTATTACGCATCAATGCCCACGTGTCTCCATTTCTACAATGGAATGAAATTAACCAACTGGTCAGGCAATAGACCTTATTGTTATAAAAATTTAGTAAGATTAAAAATTGTTTGTCTCCCAATCACATAACAATATCCAAACCTTGAAAACTTATTTTGCAACCTTCCTATACCACCTACTTAACTTCGAAACCATTCCAACCAACTCTAAACATTCCTACATACCTCCTGTTCCTACTACCAACCCTAACAAACCGATAAACTCCACCTTTTGCCTCTACTTCACAACCTGGTCTTCTTTAAATTGTCTATAATATAGATAGAAATGCTTTTATCTTCCACTACTTACAGAGAGGAATATATACAAAATAGACAAAGCTCTTTCTATAGAACCAAGATGGTCTGAACTGAGCACTAACCTTCAGGCCTAGTGGCTGAATCCCCACACAACCCACATGTGGACCTGCAGTTGGCCTTCATCCAGCCAACATTGGTAGAACAATCACCCCTCTGCTTCCACACAGCACACTTGACACTGGAGAACACATCTTTGCACCCACCTGTTAGTGTACATGAATAACTTGTACTCATTAGTAGTTGATCTCATGATAAAACAAAGAAAGATAATGCCAAGGTGGGGGGAGGAGGCACATTATGCAATGGTAATTGTAAGGTCACAAAAGTGATAACTGCTCTGGATTGTAAGAATGTTATTTGACCAAATTTATTTCTGTCGTGTCCTGTCACTGTCATAAAATTACATCCATGTACATAAGATAACATAACTTTAAGTCAAAATCCTTTTGTTCTTTTAATCTTCACTTAGGCTTAGAGCTATAGCCTATACTATACTGTAACTTACTTCTGTAATGACTGCTACTAATTATAATATAGGTATTAATATACAGCAGAAGCAGCACCAGCATCATCATCATCAGCAGCAGCAGCAGGAGCAGCAGCAGCAGTAGTAATAGTAGTAGTAGTAGTAGTGGTAGTAGTAGTAGTAGAAGAAGAAGAAGAAGAAGAAAACCTTGTTAGTCGAGATAACCTGACTCATTGAGTGACCGGGTTAACAGAAGGCATGCATGCATGGAACATTGTAATCAATCCTTTGTTGTATTATTAACTTAGCAAAAGAGAGAAAGAAAATAAAAAAACTGAGCAAACAGGGGGACATGATTCAGTAAGGTTTCCGTTTTAACGCGAAATAACAACTAGGGATGCCATTGCAAGCCAAATCAACCACGACTAGGTTTCTATTGCAAGCCAACTAAAAACAAAATAAATTACTTCAATGCCAGTACAACCAATGGGCACTTAATCAAGACCCACAACCGGTTCACCAAAATTGGACCACTTTTTTTGGTATGACTTTTGTAATCCTGGCAAACCACTGCCGCGGCCATAGCATGAAGTTCATATCTGGCAATCACAAGGCAAATGTCAGCATTACCCTGGAAACCTGAACCAATCATATTTTTTTACTCCATTTTTATCATTTTTAATTAAAGCTGGGCTTATGGACGTGCTCTCCCTTTCACATCAGTCGGTTTTATGAAGTAAGATTTTTGGTAAATGTGAAGAGATAGCACCGCGTTTAGCCTAATCCTTTATTCTTGAACTCTACTTACGACATAAGGAAGACTTTTAGCGTGATAAAATCTTCATTTCAGCGATAATGTCTTCCTTCAATTTTTTTTCACCTTCATCTCTTTAACTTATCGTCGTATCGTATCTTTATCGCCAACTCTAGCTCCTCGTTGTCATCCTTCATTTATCATATATGCGTATTTACATTTTGATAAGTGTATACTGGCTGTCTATTATTTATCACTTTTTAATTTTCCATCCATCCTTCAAGCCATTCCTCCAACAGTCTCACCTTCCATTTAACATCATCTACTTCCAGTACCAGTACCTAAGATTCGCCCTACTGACCTTGCTGTTGCGCACGCTCGGCCCCACACACGCCGCACGCCTTCTTGCAGTTTTCCTTCATGTACAAAGGGTTCCTCTCACACTCGCCCTGGTTTGCCCAGATGTAGCACGCCCAGCTATTGTAGTTGTTGACACATTTCACTGGAGAGGGGGGGGGGGAGAATATATATGTCTCTAAAATTGAAACATTTAAAGCGGAACATGAATGCAACAATATTGACCCTAGAGACCGACCGAATTACGGCTTCGGCTTCGGCGCCGAAAGTGGCCATTTTATCACTTTCGGCCAAGTTTCAGTTTCGGCCGAAACCGAAAGTTAACTTTCGGCTTAAGTTCGGTTTCGGCCGAAAGAGAAAAGTTAACTTTCGTTTTTTTCGGTTTCGACCGAAATTGACTTTGATTTTCAGTCATCCGGCCGAAAGTGACTGAGGTTTTCGTTCATCTAATACTCAGCGAAAGCGACATTTAACAACAAACTAGGCGACATTTAAGAACAAACTAAACGATCTTTAAGAACAAATTAAGCGATCTTTGAGAAGAAACTAAACGATATTTTACAACAAACTAAGCGACATTTAAGAACAAACTAAACGATCTTTAAAAACAAATTAAGCGACCTTTGGGAAGAAACTAAACGATATTTTACAACAAACTAAGCGACATTTAAGAACAAACTAAACGATATTTTAAACAAACTAAGCGATCTTTAAGAACAATCTACGCTATCTTTAATTAAAAAAAAACTAAACGATCTCAAAGAACAAACTAAGCGATTTTTAAGAATGAACAAAATGATCTTTAAGTACAAAACAAATGATCTTTAATAGTAAACTAAATGGTTTATAAGAATAAACTTAGTGATCTTTAACAGAAAACTAAATGTTCTTTAGGAACAAATTAAAAGTTCTTTAAGAACAAACTAATCGATCTTAAGGGAAAAAATCAATTATCTATAAGAGCAAACTACGAGATCTGTACTTTATGAAAAAACTAAGCGATCTTCAACAACAAAATAAGTGATCTTTAACAACAAACTAAACGATTTTTAATAACAAACTAAAAGATCTATAAAAACAAACTAAATGATCTTTAAGAACAACTAAGTGATATTTAAGAAAAAAAACAATGATCTTTAAGTACAGACTAAGCGATCTATATGAACAAACTAAACGATCGTTTAGTAACACAAACTAAGCGATCTTTAAGAAAAACTTAGCGATCTTTTTTGAACAAACTAAATGATCTTTAAGAAAAAAATAACATATCTTTAAACAAAAACTAAGCGATCTGTAAAACCAAGCTAAGAGATTTTTAAAATACTATAAATAATTTTTAACAACAAACTAAGCGATCTATATGAACCAATCTTTAAGAACAAATAAAGCGATCATTAACAAAAAACTGAACGATACTTAACAACAAACTAAGCAATCTTTAAGAACAAACAAAACGATCTTTAACAACAAGATGTTATATTAGATGTTTATTTATTAATATTCACGATTATCTCTTTTTTTATAATAAGAATGTAAATATTTATACTTTCCCCCATCATTTTCGATGAATGCAGAATGTATGCGGGAACGAATTTCAAAATATCTAAATATTTCTTTTTCGGTTTCGGCTTCGGTTTCGGCCGAAAGTCATCTTTAACTTTCGGCCTTTTTTTCGGCTTCGGCCGAAAGTCATTTTAAACTTACGGCCTATTTTCGGCTTCGGCCGAAATCAGAAAATCACTTTCGGTCAGTCTCAAATTGACACCATTAATAATTAACCAATGAAAACAATGTTCTTATTGTTTCCCAAATGTAATAATGATAGTGTCACAAATGTAATAATGATAGTGTCACAAATGTGATAATAATAGTGTCACAAATGAAATAATAATAGTGTCACAAATGTAATGATAAAGTGTCACAAATATGATAATAATAGTGTCACAAATGAAATAATAATAGTGTCACAAATGTAATAATAATAGTGTCACAAATGTAATAATAATAGTTTCACAAATGAAATAATAATAGTTTCACAAATGTAATAATAATAGTGTCACAAATGTAATAATAATAGTTTCGCAAATGTAATAATAAGTTTAATGAATAGGCCCCACCCCCATCAGAAAAAAATATGCGCGCACACACACACACCAAAACACACACACACACACAACCAACATTCACGAAATATAGGTAGGGCCTGCATGATTCTGGCTGATATTTGTGTTTCTTTACAAATATAATTTACTGACATTTTTTAGAGATACATCAACTATCCTTAGCTGTATTCCTCCATTAAGCTGATTGCAACGTCACCTAGCTTTGCAAATTACGACATTTTTACCACATACACACTATGTAGACAATATGTACACACTATGGAGACAATATGTACACACTAAGTAGACACTATGTACACACTTTGTAGTTCATCGCCATGTAGACCGTACGTACAAGCTATGTAGATAGATAGATAGTATGTTCCTACACATATGCCACATTGCCATTTGGCAAACTTAACTATACTTGATACCCCATCATGATCACCAACCATCTTTATTTGATCTTGTTCTGTCACAATCCTTGCTACCATCAGCACAGATACAGTTGCAGTTCTGGTCCACGTGTCCTTTGGGCCCACACTTGTTTTTGTCTGGACAATGGTCTGTAAACATCAACCAATGGGGGACTTTTATTAATATACATATATATGCTTATGTCTGGTGTTTGAAATTACATACCGGTACATTTATAGTGCTAGTGTGAATTACTCTCTCTATCTCTCTTTCCCTCTCTCTCTCTCTCTCTCTCGCAGGCTCTCCCTCTCTCTCTCTCTTTCCCTCTCTCTCTCTCTCTCTCTCTCTTTCCCTCTCTCTCACTCACTCTCTCTTTCTCTCTCTCTCTCTCTTTATCTCTCTCTATCTCTCTCTCTCTCGCTCGCTCTCCCTCTCTCTTTCCCCCTCTCTCTCTCTCTCTTTCCCCCCCCCCCTCTCTCTCTCTCTCTCTCTCTTTCTCTATTTATAATTATAGGAGTTTTTATATTTGTGTATAAATCAACTATGACCAGGGGTTGTTCATAATGCCGCCCCCCCCCCACATTTTCCCATGACCTTCACCCCCCCCACATTTTCCCATGACCTTCTCCCACCCTCCTCTTACCCCCCCCCACATATAAATTAACATAAATGACTTGTAGGTGAAATATAATTAATGGGATCAGCCAGTCTCTCGGTCCTCTTTTTAGAGATTCTATAAATATGAGCGTGTCCTCACTTGGATAACTCTTAGCCCACCTCATAATCAAGTACTCTCTAAACCAGAGACAAATCCCTCCCTAATTTTTTAAATTTTTTTTTTGTACATGATGTTCGACCTTTGACCAGTCACTTATCTTGTGTCTCAGGCAACAAACAAGTGAGATTGTTTGCTATTATATTGAACTGAAAACTGGGGTACGGCGAATCCCTATGTTTCTATAAATAGATATAAGTAAAAGAATGGACGATGGCTGTGCTTGAGATAGAACCAACCTGAACAGTTGTACATGAGGTTAGTCACAAGTACATCTGAGTACGACAGCTCTTTTAGGTACACTTTGCCAATACTGTCCTCCTTGGAGCGGTCAAATGCCCGGATGGTCTGGCTGTTACCATCTTTTGCAAAGGCCTGCAGAAACAACGTTGAAATATCACCACCCTAACTCCGCAATCACCTTCACAATCCTCAATTCATCGATCATCAACTCCACAATCACCTTCACAATCCTCATTTCTTCGATCATCAACTCCACAATCACCTTCACAATCCTCATTTCTTCGATCATCAACTCCACAATCACCTTCACAATCCTCATTTCTTCGATCATCAACTCCACAATCGCCTTCTTCTTCTTCTTCTTTAAAAAAGGGCTCACGATCAATGTATTGATCATTCTGGCTCCTATGCATGTAGAGGGGATTTACAATGTTTCTGTGCCTGGTTTTGATGAGGATATGTCACTGGTTGCAAGGGCTACTTTGTGAGGGTATCATGCACTGTGGGATGGAAGGCCTTCACAATCATCAATTCTTCGATCATCAACTCCACAATCACTAACCCCTCAATCATCACCCCAACAATCATCGACCCCCACAATCATCGACTCAAAATCACCCCCCTACAATCACCACAACCAATCATTGACCCCACAGTTATCACCCCCAAAATTACCACCAGAATAATCAGCCCCCTCCACATTAATGATTTTCATTGTCAACATTACCTTCACCATTGCCATCACTCTGTCTCCACCATGATTACATTTAACACTAGGAAAATCATAACACTTTACACATCTTCTTAAAGTGACGTTTTAGTTTTTATATAGTCGATGTCCTGGTTCCGGTGATTATTTTAAACTGAAACCGATTTTACGTGAAGATCTATATACATCATCGAGACTATGACTAGACCAGTGGCTCTCACACTAGAAACCCCACCCCCGAACTCTTGGGGTGTCTACAAAGTAATTTGGGGGGGGGGGGTGTTGGGGGTAACCATTAGATAATCCAGGCATAACTTACCGTAATCCCGTAATGCATCACAGATGAATATTCATACGGCACGTTCATCTGGTCGACTTCCCGTGTGGTGTACTTGTTGAACCAGGCCCTCATTTGAGGCGCCACGTTGTAGTACAGGATCTCGATGTACTTGTCTCGGTCTGGGAGCTGGTGCTCGTGCACCAGGCCGAGGGCGTGGCCGATTTCATGGAGGTAGAGCCCTTTCTGAAAGTCCAGACATTTCAGTCACAACTCTACTGCGCTCACAGTGTCTATATGTGTGTGTTTGTATATGTGAATATAATTGTGAGTCAGGACAGTCATTGTGTACCTATTGGAGGCCCCCCTCCCCCTTGCCCCTTTTCGGTTATGTATACCGCACATTTTTAATACACATCACAACTTTAGCTCTTTAAATATTCGAGCCCCACTGCGGCCGCAGTGGTTGCAGGGCCCAATTGACGTACATAGTGTAAGTGCGTTAACAACAACAACAATATTTGCTTCAAATAATCTTATTATTTTCATTTACTTTTTTTCATTTCAAAAACTTTTTAAACAATAATTTCAATAGCTTAAAAAAAAAAAAAAACGAAATTCAGATTGAACGAATACTTTGTGTCTACTTAAATATCCCGTTTAATCTCATCCTGGTGTGACGGATACGGTCAATGCCCTGCCCAGCCACCGCAAGTTGGTGAACTCAGACAATGTTTGAACGTGAAGTTGATCACCATCATTAAACATTCCACTTACGATGACTTAATGCTTACACTTTTCCAGAAAAATATTGAATGTATAAGATTCGATTTTAGATCAATGTTTTGGACCCGTTCCGATTCAATGCAATTTCATTTTTTTTTTTTTATAATCATAAATTTTAATTTTTAAAAGTGAATGCAAGAACATAGAATTTAAGATAAGATCAAATTCTAATAAAATTACTCTAAAAATATATTTATATGTTAGAATTAAACGTCTTAGTGTCATAGTTAGAGGGATCACATTATCTTGTCAGTGTCAGTTCTGTAATAGAGCAATCAACCTCCCTTTCTGTCAGTGTCCATTGTGTCATAGAGCAATCATCCTCCCTTGCTGTCAGTGTCTATTGTGACATAGAGTAATCAACCTCCCTTGCTGTCAGTGTCAATTGTGTCATAGAACAATCACCCTTCCTTGCTGTTAGTGTCAATTGTGTCATATAACAATCATCCTTCCTTGCTGTTAGTTTCAGTTGTGTCATAGTTAGTGCAATCACCCTTTCTTGCTGTCAGTTTCAATTGTGTTCTAGTTAAAGCAATTACCATCTCTTGCTGTCAGTTTCAGTTGTGTCATAGTTGGGGCAATCACCATCTCTTCCTCTCAGTGTAAGTTTGCAATAGCTAGAGCAATCACCCTCCCCTTCTGCCAGTTTCAGTTGTGCCATAGCTAGAACAATCACCATCTCTTGCATGCAGTTTAAGTTGTGACATAGTTAGAGCAATGACCATCTCTTGCTGTCAGTTTCAGTTGTGTCAGAGTAAGAGCAATCACCCTTTCTTGCTGTTAGTTTCAGTTGTGTCATAGTTAGAGCTGTCACCATCTCTTGCTCTCAGTGTAAGTTGTGCAATAGCTAGAAAAATCAACTCTCTTGCTGTCAGTTTCGGTTGTGTCATAGTTACTTAAGTATTGAAATGAAGCTCATGTACTTAGAAAGATCCTTTTTGTTAGTTCTCCATTTAATGTGTACAAGAACATTGTGTAGGAGATGATATTTTTAGTTAGGGTGTCGCCGGATGGTCCACTGGCTTTGGAAAGAGGGCAAATCTCGACACTAGTTAAAAATTTCCTTATCAAGTATAAATGTGTGTTGGAGTTACGGGTTTGGTGTGGGTAGGGTTGCCCAGACATTTGACAACTCCACTGGTAGTGTTCTACAGACATTTGACAACTGGTAGGGTTGCACAGACATGTTAAGTTTGCAGGTGTTGTCCAGACATTTGACAACTCCACTGGTAGTGTTCTACAGACATTTGACAACTGGTAGGGTTGCACAGACATGTTAAGTTTGCAGGTGTTGTCCAGACATTTGACAACTGGCAGGGTTTTCCAGACATTTGCTCACTGGTCGTGCTTTCCAGACGTTTGACCACTGGTGGGGTTTTCCAGACGTTTGACCACTGGTGGCGTTGTCCAGACATTTGACCAATGGTACTGTTGTACAAACATTTGATCACTGGTACTGTTGTCCAGTCATTTGACCACTGGTACTGTTGTCCAGACATTTGACAATTGGTAGGGTTGTCTACACATGTGACCGCTGCTAGAGGTGTCCAGAAATTTTACCACTGGTAGGGTTTTCCAGACATTTGATCACTGGTAGGGTTGTCCAGACATTTGACCAATGGTAGTGTTATCCAGATACTGGACCGCTTGTAGGGTTTTCCTGTCATTAGACCACTAGAAATGTTGTCCAGACATTTCACAACAGGAAGGGTTTTCCACAAATTTGACCACTGATGATGTTGTCCAAACATTTGACCGCTGGTAGGAATGTCGGAGCCAAGTGACCACTGATAGTGTTTCCAGACATGTGACCAATGGTAGTGTTGTCCAGAAATTTAACTAATGGCAGTGTTTTCCAGACATTTGATCCCTGGTAGCGTTGTCTAGACATTTGAACCCTGGAGGTGTTGTCCAGACCTTTTAGCACTGGTAGGGTTTCCAGACATTTAACAACTTGTAAGGTTGTACAGACATTTGATCACTGGTAGAGTTACACAGACATTTGACAACTGGTAGGGTTGCCCACATATTGACCACTTGCAGGGTTGTCCAGACAATTGACAACTGGTACAGTTGTCCAGACTTTTAAACACTGGTCGTGTTGCCCAGACATTTGACAACTGGTAGGATTGTCCAGAAATTTGATGACTGGTACTGTTGTCAAGACAATTTGACAACTGGTACTGTTGTACCAGTCATTTGATCACTGGTACTGTTGTCCAGACATTTGATTACTGGTTGGATTGTCAATACATTTGACAACTGGCAGTTTTGTCCAGACATTTGTCCACTGGTACTGTTGTCCAGACATTTGACCACTGATACTGTTGTCCAGACATTTGACCACTGGTACATTTGTCAAGACATTTGAACACTGGTAGTGTTGTCCAGACTTTAACCACTCGTACTGTTGTCCAGATATTTGACAGTGGTAGTGTTGTCCAGTCATTTGACCACTGGTAGTGTTGTCCAGACATTTGACCACTGGAAGTTTTATTTAGACATTTGACCAATGGTAGGGTTTTCCATACTTTTAACCACTTGTAGTGTTGTCCAGGCATGTGACCACGTGTATTTTTTTCCAGACATTTCATCACTGATTGGGTTTTCTAGTCTATTGACCATCGGTAGGTTTACACAGATGTTTGATCACTGGTAATGTTGTCCAGAAAGTTGACCACTTGTAATGTTGTCCAGAAAGTTGACCACTGGTAGTTTTGTCCAGACATTTGACCACTGGTAGTGTTATCCAGGCATTATAACACAGGTAGTGTTGCTCAGACTTTTGACCTCTGGTAGGGTTGTCTAGACATTTGATCATTTTTAGTGATGTCCAGGCATTTGACCACCTGTAGGGTTGTCCAGACATTTGACCACTGGTAATGTTGTCCAGACTTTTGACTACTGGTAGGGTTGTCCAGACATTTAACAACTGGTATGGTTGTCCAGACATTTGACCACTGGTAGGATTGTCCACACATTTGACCACTGGTAGTGTTGTCCAGATTTTTTATTACTGGTATGGTTGTCCAGACATTTGACTCATGGCATTGTTGTCCAAACATTTGACCACTGGTAGTTTTGTCCAGAAATTTGACCACGTGTATTGTTGTCAAGACATTGACTTCTGATAATGTTGACCAGACATTTGACCAGTGGTATTGTTGTCCAGACATTTTACTACTGGTATTGTTGTCCAGTCATTTGACCACTGGTAGTGTTGTCCAGACATTTGACCACTGTAATTTTGTCCAGACATTTGATCACTGGTAAAGTTATCCAGACATTCGGCTACTGGTAGTTTTGTACAGATACTTGACTACTGTTAGCTTTGTTCAGACTTTTCAACACTAGTAGTGTTGTCCAGACATTTGACTACTGGTAGTATTGATTATTTTGACCTCGGTATCTGATGTCTAATAATAAATTTGTATGTATTATTAAATCGTATGAAGTGTAGCGCAACAAAATTTTAGTTGTCTTCATAACTGAAGATCTGGGAATTTTTTTCTTTAAAAACAAAAACCCTGAAATTGAGTGGTTGATAAGAACAAGGTTTCCGTTCTAAATAGTCTAATGGTGGGTGATCTTGGCGATTGCCTGAAGATTATCAGGGTGATTGCCACAAGATAAAATTACAAAGCTGTATATACATCCTCGAGCCTTATAAAAAGACTAAGGATGGGTTATCAAGGTGATTGCGACAAGATGTACTTACAAATCTACAGCCAGGCGCCATAAGATTCAATGTCTGGACCCTTCCAACCATGCCGAGCTGGGAGTTACAACTGCGGAGGGAGCAATGGGTGGATTGGAATATGGGTCTCTCGTGGAACAAAGGATCGTTTAATCCCCAGAAAACTTGGTGGGTTTTTTTTTTCAAGAGTTTATAATATGATAGTTCAACCCAAGTGAAAGATTTATATAATAATATTAATGATAAAGTTTATTTCAAAAACATGCTTTATCCACAAAAGCTCGAAGCGCGGTACAATGTCAACCATATTAAAAAGAGAAATTTTAAAAATATAAAATTTACCACATTTAAAAACAGACGCAACAATATAAAACTCCATACGAGCATACCCAGTCAAAGTCTTTCATCCCATTTCAACCATAAGCAACACAAGGCAATATACATTAACTGGAAAAAAGATGGTAGATAGCATCACCCCAGAAGGTTTTTGCGAAATAGATGTGTTTTTAAATCGGTTTTAAAGGACTCCAGTGTCTTGCTGTTTCTGAGAGCGACTGGAAGAGCGTTCCAAATTGTTTGGCCAGCAAATGCAAAAGTGCGCTTTCCGTGAGTCTCAAGGCGAACACACGGTATCGATGTTTTGCCACCATCGGATGAGTGGAAGACAGGATACGGATAGAATGGATGCTTAAATATGGATGTGGCAATGAACAAATGCACAGATGCAATGGTAGATGGAACCTTATGCAGGCTCTTATTTTCTGTTTATTATGTTGAAATAAACTATTTTGAAAACTATCAAAGTGACAGTGTATGAGGGTGTCCCCCCTCCCCCACCCCTAAATTTTAAAACTGTAAAAGTGACATCGTATTAGGGTCCAAGCCCCCCCCCCCCCCCAACTATTTTGAATACTGTAAAAGTGACAATTTATGGAGTTCTCTGGAACTTTTATTTTTATCTTTATTCTATGCCTATTACATTTGTTGAACAAAGTCTCCTAACAATAGTAGCAAATATAATAAGGGGGAAGAGGAGAGAATGCGATCAGGTTTAGTTAAGAGGAAATATGTAGAAAACCTGAAAAAAAAAGGAAGCAACAAAACAACGAACGTGTCGGCAGGTGGCCGTCATTGGCGAGCACCACAAACAAAGCGTTACACAGAAATATAAACTTAGCTTTTATGTTGAATGCGAGAGTACGGCAAAAGGACTGCAGCAAGAGGACAGCAACAGCAGCAAGAAAACAGCAACAGCAGCAAGAGGACAGCAAAAGGAATGTAACAGATCTGTAGTAACAATGCATTTCACAATGTAATAAAAATGCACGATGCTTCCTATGATCTTAACATCATTTAAAATCTTTCTTATAATCCTCGCTCCCCACACCCCCGCCCCCCCAAAAAAAAAAAAAGAACCACCGCTCACACAAGTGAGTGCAAGCTCACCACGTTGAGAATCCCTGCCAGGGAATGACGTCAGTACTCACCCCCCGCCATTTTGAAAACGGACACTATTTTTATCCTCGGTGACAGCGGGTCTAAATTTGACACAAGTGTACCTCTCCCATTCGGTCATGGCTCTCTTTATCATATACTGCTCCTTGTCGTCTATGGTATGAAAGAAATAAACTCTAGGCTAAAATGACCATCAAATGTAATGGAATAATTTTTTTAAATTTTCTTTAACATCATAAATTAGTACGAAAATACGATTTTAAACCAAAATACAAATGTATTTCTGTCCCGTTCCCCCCTTCCAATATCCGTATACACCTCGCTCCTCAGGGAAAAAAATTGTTTTTGCGTCAAAATTAAGAGGGAAAATTTATGTCAAGTTGTGTTCATTCAATTATACTTTTACCCTTTTTTTTTTTTTGTTGTTGTTGTTTCTTGTCCCTATTTGGTTCTTTTGTCTGTCATTGTGAATCCTTAAGATGATAACATTTAAAAAACAAAAAAAACAAAACAAATGACACGAAATCGAAACAATTAAAGCAGGCATTTTGGGTGTGTGGGGCAGGTCTGTCAAAAGACGTTGTACNATTGTTTTTGCATAAAAATTAAGAGGTAAAATTTATTTCAAGTTGTGTTCATTCAATTATTCTTTTTCCCTTTTTTTTTTTTTGTTGTTGTTGTTTCTTGTCCCTATTTGGTTCTTTTGTCTGTCATTGTGAATCCTTAAGATGATAACATTTAAAAAACAAAAAAAACAAAACAAATGACACGAAATCGAAACAATTAAAGCAGGCATTTTGGGTGTGTGGGGCAGGTCTGTCAAAAGACGTTGTACTCCTTTTCATCATTTACCAAAATCCCCCTTGGTAAACATGTAGGGAATTTCTGCGTTCGTCCACCTCAGCCTCGTGCTCCTGGTCGCCTTCCGCTTGGTCCTGGAGCTGTAAACTTTACGAAGGTCAAAAGAGTTGTTCTCATCCACAGCGACGCCGGCTGGTGCTGGCGACATCTCCATCTTGGGCATCTCGCTGTGGATATGACATCCATGAACAAAAGTCGATCACACCATGACCATTTATATAAATACACGATAGTGGATATCATTTCCCCATTGAAAAGAAGAAACTTTTGTCGCAGCCCGCCCCACCCCCCCCCCCTTTTGTTACGCCTTTCCTAAATAAAATGCAACACACAAATTTAATTTCGTTGATTTCAGTGTTGTTCGTCCAACTCATCATTTTAAGAATTAAGGTAGGGCAATTCAAACCCAAGTTTTTTTTCTTCAAATTTTGCTGACTCCTAAATTTAACCCCCCCCCCCCCCCCCCCCTAAAACAGCAACAGCAGCAAGAGGACAGCAAAAGGAATGTAACAGATCTGTAGTAAAAATGCATTTCACAATGTAATAAAAATGCACGATGCTTCCTATGATCTTAACATCATTTAAAATCTTTCTTATAATCCCCGCTCCCCACCCCCCCGCCCCCCCAAAAAAAAAAAAAGAACCACCGCTCACACAAGTGAGTGCAAGCTCACCACGTTGAGAATCCCTGCCAGGGAATGACGTCAGTACTCACCCCCCGCCATTTTGAAAACGGACACTATTTTTATCCTCGGTGACAGCGGGTCTAAATTTGACACAAGTGTACCTCTCCCATTCGGTCATGGCTCTCTTTATCATATACTGCTCCTTGTCGTCTATGGTATGAAAGAAATAAACTCTAGGCTAAAATGACCATCAAATGTAATGGAATAATTTTTTTAAATTTTCTTTAACATCATAAATTAGTACGAAAATACGATTTTAAACCAAAATACAAATGTATTTCTGTCCCGTTCCCCCCTTCCAATATCCGTATACACCTCGCTCCTCAGGGAAAAAAATTGTTTTTGCGTCAAAATTAAGAGGGAAAATTTATGTCAAGTTGTGTTCATTCAATTATACTTTTACCCTTTTTTTTTTTTTGTTTTTGTTGTTTTTTTTTCCTATTTGTTTCTTTTGTCTGTTTTTTTTAATCCTTA